GGGTAGACTGACAGCTGGTTGACGCCCGAAGATGATCCGCCAGAAAGACCTTCCCCCCATGAGAAGGGGGGAGAGAGGGGGGTAGAAGAACCCTAAACCCTAAAGGGGCACTTTTGGGTGGGGGGTGGGAACGGGAACGAATAGCAGCCGACCCCCCCAACCTCTTGAAGGAGGGGGGGTCGAGCTGCTTCCGACCAGCGAGGCCCTAAACCCTAAACCCTAAACCCCAAACCCTAAATTCCCAAGCATCTCGCTGTGCTTCTGCCCACCCCACCGCGCATCACCGTCGCCGTCTACGAGAGACAGGGCATCTCTGAGATACTTCAGCAGGTAGCCAGAGTGGGTCGCCCATGCAGCCGTAGGCTGCCCCTTGGGAGTCGCGATTCAAAGATAAACTTTCCCTTGATCCTCGAAGAGTATAACACCCTAAACCCGGGGACCTTTCGTCCTCGGGTCGCGCTCTACATGTCTCCGACACGTAAAAACACGTGTGGGGCGCTCTAAGCGCTTCTGGGCGCACTTGGGAGCGCCTGGAAGCGCTTGGGAGCGCCTGGGAGCGCCTGGGAGCGCCTGGGAGTGCCTGGGAGCGCTTGAAAAGCGCTTGGGAGGGAGCGCCGGGGAGCGCCTGGGAGCGCCGGGGAGCGCCTGGGAGGAGCGCCTGGGAGCGCCTGGGTGCGCCTGGGAACGCTTGGGAGCGCTTGGGAGCGCGGGAAGCGCCTGGGAGCGCCGGGAAGCGCCTGGGAGCGCCGGGGAGCGCTTGGCAGCGCCGGGGAGCGCCTGGGAGCACTTGCGAGCGCCTGGGAGCGCCTGGGAGAGCCTGGGGGCGCTTGCGAGCGCCTGGGAGCGCCAGGGAGCGCCTGGGAGCGCTTGGAGCTATTTGGGAATTTAGGGGCCAGCGGCCCTAAACCCTAAAAGGCTTTAGTTTGGGAGGTCGCCGGCCATGCGGCCGGGGGTGGGAAGATGTTGCAATTCCTGCTCCCTTCGCCAAGCTTGCTCGGGTCGGCTAACCGCCCCCCCAATCAAGCTTGCCGAAGGGGGGGCAGCATTGCCTGGACTGTCGGCCGCTGCGCTAAGAGAAGCCCTAAACCCTAAACCCTAAACCCTAAACCCTAAACCCTAAACCCTAAACTGATGCGCGACCCCTCGACGGGTCGCGCACCGATGTCGAACCTTGTCCGCTCTGAAAGCGAGCGATAGTCGAGCGCCCAGATCGTTATCGGGCCGGCGCACGCGCTGAGCTTCGGCTCTGAGATAACCCTGAACCCTGGTCTCCTTTGCTCTGGCGGCTCCCGTCTTGGCCCCTGGAAGGATAAACTTCGCCTGGGAGCGCTCCCAGGCGCTCCCAGGCGCTCCCAGGCGCTCCCAGGCGCTCCCAGGCGCTCCCAGGCGCTCCCAGGCGCTCCCAAGCGCTCTCAGGCGCTCCCAGGCGCTCCCAGGCGCTCCCAAGCGCTCCCAGGCGCCCCCAGGCGCTCCCAAGCGCTCCCAGGCGCTCCCAGGCGCGCCCAACGCTCCCAAGCGCTCCCAAGCGCCCCCAGGCGCTCCCAGGCGCTCCCAGGCGCTCCCAAGCGCTCCGGGGCGCTCCCTGGCGCCCGGGGCGCTCCCCGGCGCTCCCAAGCGCTCCCAAGCGCCCCCCACCGCTCCCAAGCGCTTTCCCGGGGCGCTCCCCAGCGCCCGGGGGGTGCTTTCCGGCGCTCCCAGGCGCTCCCCCGGGCGCTCCCAAGCGCAGCCAAGCGCTTTCAAGCGCTCCCAAGCGCCAAGCGCTCCCAGGCGCTCCCAAGCGCTCACAAGCGCTCCCAAGCGCGCCGGGGCGCGCCCAGGCGCTCCCAAGCGCTCCATGGCGCTCCCAAGCGCCCGCAGGCGCCCCCGAGCGTTCCCGGGCGCTCCCAAGCGCCCAGCGCTCCCAGGCGCTCCCAGGCGCTCACAAGCGCTCCCAAGCGCGCCGGGGCGCTCCCAGGCGCTCCCAGGCGCTCTCTGGCGCTCCCAAGCGCCCGCAGGCGCTCCCAAGCGCTCCCGAGCGCTCCAAAGCGCTCCCAAGCGCTCCCACGCGCTCCCAAGCGCTCCCAGGCGTTCCCAAGCGCTTCCAAGCGCTCCCAAGCGCTCCTACGCGCTGCCAACTGCTTCCACGCGCTCCCCGGTGCTCCCAAGCGCTCCCAAGCGCTCCCAGGTGCTCCCAAGCGGTCCCAGGCGCTCCCTGGCGCCCCCAAGCGCTCCCAGGCGCTCCCAGCTGCTCCCAGGCGTTCCCGGGCGCTCCCAGGCGCTCCCGAACGCTCCCAAGCGCTTCCAGGCGCTCCCGGGCGCTCCCAAGCGCTGCCAAGCGATCCCAGGCGTTCCCATGCGCTCCGAAGCGCTGACAAGCGCTCCCAAGCGTTCCCAGGCGCTCCCAAGCGCACCCAGGAGGCGCTCCCAAGCGCTCCTAAGCGTTCCCAAGCGCTGTCAGGCGCTGCCAGGCGCCCCCAAGCGCCCCCAAGCGTTCCCAAGCGCTCCTCGGCGCTGCAAAGCGCTCGCAAGCGCTCCCAAGCGCTCCCAGGCGCTCCCACGCGCCCCCAGGCGCTCCCAAGCGATCCCAAGCGCACCCTACCGTTCTCAAGCGCTCCCAAGCGCTCCTCAGCGTTCCCAAGCGCTACCAAGCGCTGCCAAGCGCTCCGAAGCGCTCCCACGCTTGCGAGCGCCTGGGAGCACTTGGCAGTTGCGAGGGGGCGCCAAGCCCGCCCCCTCGCGCTCCCCCTCCGCGCCGGCGCTCCCAGGCGTTCCCAGGCGCTCCCAAGCGCTCCCAGGCGCTCCCAGGCGCCCGAGGGCGTTCCCCAGCGCTCCCAGGCGTTCCCAAGCGTTCCCAAGCGCTCCCAAGAGCTTCCAGGCGCTCCCAAGCGCTCCCAAGCGGTCCGGGGCGCTCCCTGGCGCCCGGAGGCTTTCCCCGGCGCTCCCAGGCACTCCCAGGCGTTCCCAAGCGCTCCCAAGCGCTTCCAGGCGCTCCCAAACGCTCCCAGGCGCTCCCACGCGGTCCCAAGCGCTCCCAAGCGCATCCAAGGCGCCCCCAAGGGCCCCCAAGCGCTCCCAGGCCGTCCCAAGCGCTCCCAAGTGCTCCCGAGCGCTCCCAGGCGCTCCCATGCGTTCCCAGGCGCTGCTAAGCGCTGCCAGGCGCTGCCAAGCGCTCCCAAGCGCTCCCACGCGTTCCCAGGCGCTCCTACCCAGAGGTCGCTGGACTTGCTAACTAGGCCGGAAGATTCGATTCGGCCGTGCGATAGGCCGGCAGACGTATATTGATATGGAGCCTGGTGATACACGTTGTTTTGATATGTTATATTTGAAGTATAATGATATTATATGTGATATATATATATATATATATATATATATATATGATATGTTATATAGTATGTACTATTCATTGTATACATGTATGTATCATACTATAACGAAAAAATGACATACCACCACCAACAACCAACGAACGCAGTCAACACATACCAACCAACAACACCGCCCAGCTCCAGAACGCAAAACAACAACCACGAACCACCCAACGAGCTACCACAGCGCCTGTCCAACCAGCACCAACCCAACCAACGCCGACCCAACCAGCACCGACCAACGACCAACACCAACCCAACCAGCACCAACCACCAACAACCAGCGACCAGCACCAACAAGCACCAACCAGCACCGACCCAACCAGCACCGACCCAACCAGCACCGACCCAACCAGCGGCGACGGCGACAGCGAAAGCGCGACGGCGAAGGCAGCAGCGGCGGTGGGCGTCGTCGTCGCCGCCTCGTCTCGTCGCCGTTGTCGCCGCCGCGCCGTCGTCGGCCGCCCCCGCCCTGACAGCAATCGACCCGCCGACGCCGTCGAGGCCCCGAGGGGGGCACGGCGCCCGCCGCGCAGGCCGCGCAAGGCGCGGGCGGGGGCGGGGGGCGCGCCGGCAGGGCGCGGGCGAGGGCAGGGTGATGGCGCCGAAGGGGAAGGAGGAGAGGCAGCGGTGCAGGCCGCTCCTTCTCCGTTTTCCCTTTTCCTCTTCCTCCCCTCCCCTTCCTCGCTCCTTTCCCCCCTCTCCCTGCTCCTTCTCCTGCTCCACCCTCCCCCCCGATCCCCCTCCTCCTCCTCCTCTTCCTCCTCCTCCGCCTCTTCCTCCTTCTCCTCCTCCCTGCTTCCTTCTCCTCCTCCTCCTGCGTCTGCTCCTCTTTCTCCTCCTCCTCCTCCTCCTCCTCCTCCTCCTCATCCTCCTCCTCCTCCTCCTCCTCCTCCTCCTCACCCCTCCCCCCTCCCCCTTGCCCCCCTTGCCGCCCTCCCGCCGAGGGACGTCGACGCGATCGTGTCGGCGATCTCCCCCTTCATCAAGACGAGGGGGTGGATGCAATACGGCACCGCCCCAGGCCAGACAGGGGCTGGCCAAAACGCACACCCGTTCGCAATTTGTTTCTGGCCTCAGATTTTTTTCAGGTTTCAGAGTTTTCAGGCTTCCAGATTTTCAGGTCTCAGGTTTTTCAGGCCTCCAGGTTTTCGGGCTGGTTTGCAAAACAAAAAAAAACGTCGGGGGGCACTGGCGAACCAGATGCGTTTTGACCTGCCCCCATTAGGCAAGGACCGCTTCACGCCAGACTGCGTGAAGGAAGTGCACAAGCACTACGAGGCGGGACGACGATGAGGGCGAGAAGGACAAGGAGGAATAAGGAGGAATGACGGACGGATGAGGGAGAGGATGAGGGGGATGATGAGGATGGTGATGAGGAGAAAGGAGGAGGAGGAGGAGGAGGAGGAGGATTGGGATGAGGATGAGGACGGTGCTGCTGATGATGACGAGGATGAGGATGGATATGAGGATGAGGAGGAGGAGAAGGAGGAGGAGGATGATGAGGGTGAGGGTGAGGAGGGGGGATGGGGGGGGAGGAGGAGAAGGAGGAGGAGGAGGAGAAGGAGGAGGAGGAACAGGAGGAGGAGAGGGGAGGAGAGAAGGAGGAAGAGAGGATGGGGAGCGGAGAGCCCCCCCCCCGCCGCCCGCCAGATGTTGGCAGAGCTCGAACGGGTCACCCCCAACTTCGCCCTCGACGGATCGACATGCGACGCGGCTTTCGGGAAGATAGTTGCCGAGAAGGCCACGGAGTTCGAGCTGCAAACCCCAGAGGAGCGACAGCTGTGGTCCACGCAGAACAGCTTGAGGTCCGACAAATTTTTGTTCAAAGGGGGGATGCCCACTAAGATTCCAGATTCCCTCCTCCTCCTCCTCCTCCTCCTCCTCCTCCTCCTCCTCCCCCCTCCTTCTCTTCCTCCGCCTCCTCATCCCCCTCCCTCCTCCCCCTCCTTCGCCCCCCGTCAACCATCGAAACAAACAAAGAGAATGAAGAGGAGGAGGAGGAGAGGGAGGAGGAGGAGGAGGTGCAGGAGGAGGAGGAGGATGAGGAGGAGGAGGGGGGGGAGGGGGGAGGAGGAGGAGAAGGAGGATGAGGATGGGGAGGAGGGGGGGGGGGGGGGGAAGCGGAGGAGGATGAGGAGGAGAATGAGGAGGAGGGGGGGAAGGATGAAGGAGGAGCTCAGTCCCACCACCAGCCCCCGCGCCCGATCTTGTCGGCGTAGAGCGCGACGTCCTGGGCGATCGCGGCGGGGGGCGGGAGTCAGGGGAGTGGAGCGGGAGAAGGTAGAGGCGGAGAGGGAAGGGGGGAGGGGGGAGTTGGAGGAGATGGAGCAGGAGGAGGAGGAGGAGGAGGAGGAGAGGGTAGAGGGCGTGGAGGAGGAGGAGGAGGTGGAGAAAGAGGAGGAGGAGGAGGAAGAACATAGAGAGATGCCTTGCAAATAACCTTCAGGTTGCGGTCCATGTGTCGCCATCTCTACGACCCGCGGCAGAAGGAGATGCTGAAGACTAGGAAAGGGCCGCCGTCCTGGTTCTTGGAACTGCGCAAGTTGCAAGGGCGGGACTCCCCACAGGCATCGTTCGGGTTCGACACGTCGTCTCAGTCGGCGTGGTTACGGCAGGATTCAGGGCGCATCATCACCACGGAGAATGTGTACGTGAAGGGTGAGGTGGTAGTGGCCTCGTGGGATGAGGAGCCAGGGATCGAGCGCACGCTCGACATCTCGGTCAGCGCCTGGACAGCCCTGCCAGCCAAGCCAGGAGAGGAGAACCAGAAGCAGGGAGCGGCTGCGCCAGGCACGAGGTCAGCCAAGACGCTCTTCAAGACGGCGACGGCCAGCGGACACGCGGTCGACGTGCTCGAGAAGGCGCGAGCGGAGAGAGGGGGGATGAGGGAGAGGATGATGAGGAGGAGGACGGTGAGGATTAGGAGGAGAAGGCGGAGGATGGGGGAGGGGGAGGAGGAGGAGGACAAGGAGGAGGAGGACAAGGAGGAGGAGGACAAGGAGGAGGAGGAAGAGGAGGAGGAGGAGGAAGATGAGGAGGAGGAGGAGGAGGAGGAGAAGTGACGGGTGGAGGAGGGGGAGGAGGATGAGGAGGGGGATGATGACGCGGAGGAGGAGGAGGAGGGGGGGGGGGAACGAGAAGGAGGGGGGGGGTTGGGGAGGAAGATGAGGATGGGGAGAAGCAGGAGGAGGGCCCTCCCATCCACCCCCCTCGCCGCCGAGGCATTGTCCACGCTCAAGGACGGCAGCCATTCGTGGGGCGTTGCGCTGAAGATCGAGGGCTGTCAGAAAATCCAGATTGGTTTCAGGCTGTTGCAGTCCGAGCAGCTGGCGCGGGACTGGATGATCAGCCAGGCGAAGGGCATCGCTGACGGCTCCATCGCGGAGTCCGAGCTCAAGGACAACAAAGCGGCGTTCGAGAAGGAATACCAGCTGAAAGAACAGTACAAGGGCATGAAGAAGCCCGCGGCCGCCAGCTCATCGTCATCGGACATCGCGGCCGCCAGCTCATCGACCGCCTTGAAGCGGCCAGCCGCAGCACATGAACAGGGTGAGGAAGATGAGGAGCCCGAAGCGCCTGCGATGAAAAGGAGGCCTGCAGCTCTCAGCAAGAAGCCGTCGGCTGCGAGCCTCGACAACCTCGAAGACGACGAGGGGGGCGAGGAATCGGAGGAGGGCGCGGACGGCGAAGGAGAAGCTGAGGAAGAAGGTGGCGAGGAGGAAGAGGGCGGCGAACGAGACGAAGAAGTAGAGGGCAGCTTCCAAGAGGACAGCGAGGAGGAGGAGGACGAGCAGGAAGAGTTGCAGCAGGAGAAAGAAGACGAGGAATAATAGCAGGAAGAAGAACAAGAAGAGGAACTTCAGGACGACAATCCCCCGCCGATGAAGAGGAATAGGCCCGCCGCGGCCGCGAAGAGGCCGTCGGCCGCAGATGCGCAGGGCGACGCGGGCGACCTCGACGAGGACCCAGGGGGCCAGGAGGAGGAGGAGGAGGAGGGGGAGGAGGAGGAGGAGGAGGGGGAGGGGGAGAGAAGATGACGATGATGAGGACGAGGACGGTTGGGGGATTGAGGAGGAGGGGGAGGGAGGTAATGCGGAGGAGGAGGCAGAGGAGGAGGCAGAGGAGGGGGAGGATGAGGAGGGGGAGGAGGAGGAGGAGGGGGAGGAGGAGGAGGAGGAGGAGGAGGAGGAGGAGAGGTTGGATCATTTCGAACCCTAACCAGGACCAGCAGCAGGACGACGGCGACTGCGACGGCCCCCCCGAGATGTCCATGTTCGGCGCGCTGAGGGACATCTCCGTGAACAGCGATGGGCCGTCGATTGCCTGACGCTGGGCGCTGTGCCCCTCAAAGGCCCTCATCTAATGCCCTGACCGTCTGCCATCCTGGCTCCCCCCCTCACCCCTTTCTGTCCTCGCCCGTCCTCCTCACTCGTGCTCCTCCTACCCCTCCTTCTCATCCTCCTCCTCGCCACTCCTCCCATCCTTCCTTCTCATCCTCGTCCTCGGCCAAAGGCGGGTTCGAAGAAAACCCATTGCTCCTGAAAGTAAGCTGGGCCCCAGGCGCGAAGCTGGACTCTGGCCGGAAAAACTCGCCGTCTAAAGACAAGGTGGACTCAGCAAGGAAATACCGCAACCCAACCAACTGGACTCAGCTAGGACAGCTCCAAAAACGAGATTGACGCAGCTCGGAAATCTCACCAATTCCGGCCCATCCGAAAGCAAATCCAGCCAGGGACCTCCGAGAGCCCCAGCTCGAAAGGCACCCCAAAACCCCGAGCTGCGACTGCCCCCGAAGCCGCTGCGGCCTCAAAGCCCCCCAGCCGCACCCCCGCCCCCTGGCGCCGCAGCTGGCGATGGCGCCGCCGCGCTCCAGGAGCCAGCCATCCGCCATGGAGGCGGAGACCGCGCCCGAGGGATCCTGGGCCGAGGGCACCTGGGCCGAGGGATCCTGGGCCGAGGGCCCCTGGGCCGAGGGATCCTGGGCCGAGGGGGAGACTCAGTTCGACAGCCAGCCTCCTTTCGGGCAGTCCCAGTGGGAGAGCTGGGACGCCGAGAAGTACTACGAGCGGCTGGAGGCTGGCGAGGAGGTCGAGCGGGCGGTGGCTGCGCAGCCTGCGCTGCCAGACACCTTCGTCGCAGGCCAGCCCTGGGGCCAGTAAAAGAAAGAGGGCGCTAGGAGGAGTAGGGGGAAGAAGAGAAGGAGGGCGATGAGGGGGAGGAGGAGGAGGAGGGGGAGGAGGAGGAGGAGGACGACGAGAAGGAGGAGAAGGAGAAGCCAGCAGGGGGGAGCAGGAGGAGGAGGAGGAAGAGGAGGAGAAGGAGGAGGAGGAGGAAGAGGAGGGGGAGGAGGAGGAGGAGGAGGAGGAGGAGGAGGGGGAGGAGGAGGAGGAGGAGGAGGAGGAGGAGGAGGAAGACGACGGGCAGGTTCGAAGGACGCATCTGCTCTCTCCCATCGCAGGCGAGGAGGCTGAAGATCACGGCGCCGAGGGCGCTGGTGCCACGGGAGTTGCCGAGGAGACTGGAGGCGGCGAGGCTGCTGGAGAGAACGAGGAGGCTGCAGGCGGCAGCGATAGCCTCGGCGGGGTGGCCGCAGCTGACCTCGTGGTCTTCATGGACGGCGGCCAACCCGAGACCTACCTGGGCAACGACTTACCTGTGACGGTGAAGGGCGTCCTTGACAAGGATGCCGAGGAGGCCAGGCGCATATCCTTGGAGTTGGACGCCATGGAGCAGCAGGTCGAGGATGCCGCCAAGATCGCTGCAGTTCTTGCGAATGGAAGGCCGATCCAAGTCCAAGATAGTCCGCAGTCGAAGATGGCGGACGACTCCGAGGGAGGGGAAGAATATGATGACGAGGACGCGGACGAGGACTGCACGAAGCAAGAGGACGAGGATTCTTCTGAAGAGCATGTTTCTGACGGCGAGGCGGATCACAAGTGGGGCGGTGTTTTCATGGACAAGGCTGAGCTTTTGACGTTTGTCGAAGAGCCCGACTGCGTTGACGACGTGGTGCCGAGGGCGGTATGCTCGAAGGGCAAGGCCGCGAAGGGCTTTGACGCGAAGGGCAAGGGCCTTGGCGAGAAGGGCAAGGGCTGTCACCCGAAGGGCAAGGGCCTTGACGAGAAGGGCAATGGCTTTGACGCGAAGGGCGAGGGCCTCGGCGCGAAGTGCAAGGGCTTTGACGCGAAGGGCAAGGGCCTTGACGAGAAGGGCAAGGGCTTTCACCCGAAGGGCAAGGGCCTTGACGAGAAGGGCAGGGGCCTTGACGAGAAGGGCAAGGGCATTGACACGAAGGGCAAGGGCCTTGACGCGAAGGGCAAGGGCGTTACCGCGAAGGGGAAGGGCACCAAGGCGGAGCACGGCATGAAGGGCAGCAGCTTCGGCGACAAGGGCCTTGGCGAGAAGGGCAAGGGCAGCGGCAGGACCAGCAACGAGATGGTCGAGGAGGAGCTCGAGAAGAACTCGAAGGCCATCGAGACCTTCAAGGCCGGTTTTCGAGGGGTGTCGGGGGGAGGACGGAGGAGAGGATAAGGAGGAAGAGGAGGGGGCAGGGGGAGAGAAGAGGGGCGAGGGGGAGGAGAGGTAGGAGCAGGAGGAGGATGAGGAGCAGGAGCAGGAGAAGGAGGAGGAGAAGGAGGAGGTTGAGGAGGAGGTTGAGGAGGAGGAGGGTGAGGAGGAGGTTGAGGAGGAGGAGGAGAGGCAGGAGGAGCAGGAGGAGGAGGGGGAGGAGGAGGGGGAAGAGGAGGAAGAGGAAGAGGAGGAGGAGGGGGAGGTGGAGGAGGAGGAGGAGGAGGAGGAGGAGGACTGCAGGGGGGAGAGAGCGGGGCTCCTCCCCCAGGCGCCGCCGCCGTCTGCGCCGATCACGCCGACGGCTGTGTCCTTGAAGCCTGGCGTGGAGACGCCTGACAAGCTGGCGCTCGTCACGTCGGCGACTGCGCAGCTGGCTAAGCTTGCGCGCGACAAGGAAGAGCGCGAACACGGATCCTTGACTGGCGAGGGCGGGGAGGCTAGAGCAGCCGCTGACGGCATGGGCATGAGCAAGAAGGATGCGCTGAAGCAGGCCATCAGAGAGGAGAACAAGAAGTTCGGCCCTGGAGACTTGCAGCTGGTCGACCTTCAGGAGAGCGGGGCCATCTTCTCGATGAGGAGCGCGCTGGGCAACCGTTTCAACAGGGGGTCCAAGTGCGAGGGTTCAAAGCTCAAGGCGGACTTGGCGAGGTGCAAGCCGGAAGAGGACATCATGCAGCTCAAGAAAGATTGGGCCGACAAGAAGTATTCGCAGTTGCAGGCAAAACATAAAGAGAAGGTCGAGCGGTACGAAGAAAGTTTCATCAAGCAGGGCGAGCTCATGAGTGCACTTCGGATGTGCGCAGAAGAAGGCGGCCCAGAAGGGCACAAAGATCCCGAGACAGTGAAGACGGTCTTCGGGATCGCATGTCGGTGTTTGGAGATGGGGTACCCTTTCGCGCAGATGTGTCCGCAATCGCGGCGCGTCAAGTTCATGTACTTCAGAACGCAATGGCGCGAGTCTTTCACGAAGAGGTGGGAACTGGTCAGTCGCCACGGCGTGCCGATTTCGCTGGATACGAAGCCGACGACCCCGCGGCCGAACAAGAAGCCGAGCCCCATCGTGGAGGCCATGCGCTCGGCGAGGAAGTTGGCGACGTCCTGCGCGAAAGCGCTCACTACCAGCAAAGAGATGTTGGACAACATCGGCACGAAAAAGGCTTGGTCGTGGGGCAAGACGGGCAAGGTGAAAGGACGCATCACTCTCCTCCGTGCTGGGCTCACCGAGGGCTTGGAGGCTGCGGAGCTGACGTCGATGCTGTTCGGCGGGTTCTCGGCCAACGAGGCCCCAGAGGAGGAGGGGGAGGAGGAGGAGGAGGAGGAGGAGGAGGAGATGGAGGAGGGGGAGGAGCAAGATAAGGAGGCGCGGGGGGAGGAGGAGGAGGATGATGATGACGATGAAGCGCCTTGAAAGGTCGGTTCTCCCAAAACACAAACCTGAGAAGCCACCAATACGCCAAATGCGTACGGTAGAGAAAGGGGGAGGCGGGAGGAGCGGCGGTAGAAAGATGAAGCAGAAGAAAGGTGAAGCCCAGCCCAGGATTGAAACCCATGATACTGAAAGAAATCATGAATGATAGATTGTCCGATGTCCCAAATGAATCCCACCACAAGGTCTCTCTTGCTTTGAATGAAGAAGAGGAAAATGAGAAACGTTATGCAAGATAAAGGAGTATGCTCAAATTGATCAACAATCTTGAGAGGCTTGAGTAGCTCTTGAAGCCAATCTTGGGGGCATATGATCCCAAGGTCTGAAGTAAGCAAGAAGTAAAGAAATCTTTCATTGAGTCCTATGAAACCCATTGAACATAAGTAGCAACCAAGACGGATATATGTACTGAACGAAAGTCTAAAATAGAAACTGAATGTCCCAAGCACGCAATGAACCCAGAAGATACGGAGGCATACAAAATGGAATGTCAAAGCCGAGTGAGAACTCAACCGTGACAACCCACCCCAGGCATATCAAGACCAATGGAGTAAGGTTGAATTCAAACAAGTAAGGAGGGCGCAAGATGGACCTGTTTATAACCTTTTGTATGAGGAGGAGGAGGAGGAGGAGGAGGAGGAGCATGAGGAGGAGGAGGAAGAGGGGGAGGGGGATGAGGAGGAGGAGGGCGACACGGAGGGGACGGAGGAGCCTCCTCCTCCTCCTCCTCCACCTCCACTTCCTCCTCCTCTTCAGCCTCCTCCCCCCCTGTCCACCCCCATCGAGAGAAACCGTTTCCGCAAACGATGCCCCTCGACAGGGGTGCGCAGAAACCGTTTCCGCAAACGGTTTCTCTCGATAGGGGTGCTGCTTGGCGCGTGGATGGTAGGCCCCAGAACGTCCTTTCCTTCCTGCCGCCTCGCTCTTCCTCCTCGTCTTCTTCCTCTCTTCCTCCTCCTCCTTGTCCTCGTCGTCCTCCTCCTTCTCCTCCTCCCCCTCCTTCCCCCCCCCCTCCTCCTTGCCCCCTTCGCCCCCCTTCGCCCCCCCCCTCCCCCGCCCGCCAGCCTAGGTCTCCAAGAAGCTCGGCGACGCGCAGATCTTGACGCAGTGGGACGCCGCGAAGGGCTTCCAGGACAGGGCGCGGGAAAGGCAGGAGAGAGGGGCAATGAGGGGAGGGCGAGGGGGAAGAGAAGCAGGATGCTGGTGGGGAGGGGGAGGGGGGGAGGAGGAGGAGAAGGAGGAGAAGGAGGAGGAGGAGGAGGAGGAGGAGGGGGACGAGGGGGGGGGAGAAGGAGGGGGAGGCATAGAGGAGGAGGGACGGAGGAGGAGGAGGAGAAGGAGGAGGAGGAGCAGCAGGAGAGGGAGAAGGAGGAGAGGGCGGAGGAGGAGGTGGAGGAGGAGGGGTGAGGGGAGAGCGAGCGGGAACGCTCCGAGCGCGCGGGCGGGCGGTCGCCCGCCCGCCTGCCGAGGGCTCCCAGGTTAGAAATTCTGCGCGGTGGAAAGATGAGAAGGGCGAGGAGGAGGAGGGGGAGGAGGTGGAGGAGGAGGAGGAGGAGGTGGAGGAGGAGGAGGAGGAGAGGGAAGGGTTGAGATAGGAGGAGGAGGAGGAGGAAGGAGGTAGGAGCGACCGGCCCCCCACCGATCCCTTCCTCCTCACTGCCTTTCCATCCTTCCCCCTTTCCGCCCCGCGGAGATCTGACAGTAGCTCCTTCGCAACGCGGGATAGTCCCGAGGAAAAACAGCCTCCCATGTGGAGGAGGAGGGTCGTAGGGGGCGGTTCTTGAGTAGGGGGGCGGGGAGGCAGGAGGGGAGGAGTCAGACGACGTCGGGTTGCCTGTGTCGGACAGGCATGGCGAGCAGAGGGGGCAACAAGCTTCTTGTGAGAATGCTGTTCCCTTTCTTCTCCTCCTCCTCCTACCCCACCCCTCCTCCTCCTCCTTCCTCTCCCCTCTTCCTCCTCATCATCCTCCCCTCCGGCTCCCCCTCCTCCTCCTCCCCCTCTCCCCACCCTCCTCCTCCTCCCCCCCCCCCTCCTGCGCTCCCGAAGGAGAAATTGGACAAGCTGGTGAACAAGATCAAGAGCACGCAGAGTGCGCACGACATCATCGTGCGGAACAACCAGGCTGGAGGCATGGGCAAGAAAGCCGCGGCGGGGGCGTCCCGCAAGCGCAAGCGCAGCAGCTGAATAGCTGCAGCTCCCCCGAGAGCCCCGAGTGGGCTCAGGCACCTGGGCCCTGGATATCCATTGACTCCATTGACTTCAGGGGGGCCCCAGGACGCCAACACTTTTCAAAACTCTTCTGGGGACTGCAGCCGTGCTCTGTGTAGAGGCGCTCTGCTGTCGGGCGCAGCGTACGTCCAACTCGTCCCCTGTATACGATCGATCGAGCTTAAACAGAGCCCAGAGTAACAAAACAGTTGTGGAAATCGCCAAATGTCGGTGAAATTTGCCGGCTGCCGGCCTAATTGGGCCGGTTGCCGGCCTAAATCCGATCGCTGATCGATCGCTGAGCCTGATCGCTGAGCCCCCCCTCAAACCCTGTAAAAACACAGGTAAAGTGATCGCTGAGCCCCCCCACGATCGCTGATCATCGCTGAGCCATCGCTGAGCCTCGGATCTCGAGCAACGTTTGCCTCCGATCAGCCTCGATCCACCTCCTAATTCTGTTGGACGCTGCGAAATTCAAGCGTTGAGGCGGCTAGAGCGAGCCTCTAAGATACATTTAGCGCTTCGGGGAGCGGGTGTGCGAGAAAAGGCGACAGAGGTGCCGAAGCGGAGGCCTTGATCGAACGTGGCGGCCCGAGGGGGAGACTAGGGGGGAGGGGGGTGGAACAGCAGGGGGACAGACGATGAGAAGGAGTAGGAGGAGATAGGCTGGGCCCTCTGCAGCGTGCATTCTAGCACGCGCGCTCTCAAGGGGGCAATCGAATTTCCACCGCGGGGCAACCTCCAGGGATGAAACATGCAACCTCCAGGGATTCGCGTTAGTGGTTTCGTTTTTCCTTGGATGAGAATTCCCAGGGGGCCGTTATAGGTTTAGCTTCGAGGCAGCGGTCTGCCCCTCCCCCCATCCCCCCCCCTTGGAGCTAAAGCTTTCAGCCGTGACCAATTGCGAGATCGAGACGGCGAGGGTCCTCGAGGTGGCCAGTTACTTGCACCTCGAGGTGGCCAGATACTTGCACGGCAATCTCGAGAGAGATGAGGTCGTGACCAGCGAAGCCCAGTTGTTCGAGCACGTCCTAGGCTCCCCCTGTCACCATCGATGGGGTTCCAAGTGCGCCCTGGCAAATTGTCCGAGCCCCTAACGCCCGTGGCGACGAATATTTTCAGAAGGCCTGAAAATGCTTGGAGTGTTTTGGGCCGCGTTCTGACCAAGATTCCGAGCGAGAATCTGATTGGGCGTCGCGAGTAACCGCCCAACTTCTCTCCCCGCCCACGCCCCATCCCCTGGCAACTCCCTTCTCCGCCTGCTTCCCCGAGAACCCTCAGCCTCACCCCCCCAAGGGACATGCGGCGGGAGGTCGAGGAGGAGGAGGAGGAGGAGGAGGAGGAGGAGGAGGGGGAGGAGGAGGAGGAGGGGGAGGGGGGAGAAGAGGAAGAGGTGAAGAAAGTGGAGGGGGCGGAGGAGGAGGGGGAGCAGTAAGAGGAGGTGGGGGAGGAAGTGGGGTGGGGAGTGGAGGAGGAGTATGAACTCATGGGCCAGTTTTTCTTTGGGGGGCGCCGCCAGAAGCCTGACAGCTCGAGGATCGGTCGTTTTGTGTTGCTCGCGGGGCCAGCGATGGGCGACAATAAGCGTCGACGCACTGAATCGTTCCCGTCTCAGCAGATTGACCCGATCTCCTTGGAGAGCCAGGTGGCTGCAGGCAGGGAGTTGCTCGTTGCGCTGCAGGGTTTGTACTGCACTGGCAGGTTGGAAGCGACGTCCTTCTGCTCGCTCGTTCATCTCGCTGCCAAGGCGGGTGCGAAGATAGACGGGGCATGGGGTAAACAGCCGAACGACCCATCGAGAGGTCATTACCAGGAAGTCATTGATCGGAGACTGGGTGCAAGTGGTTATCGCCAAACCGCCCCCTTCGTATTATCGATCCCTGGCCACTCGACCCAGAACCGAGTTCGTCACGACCTTCGATTGCACGTTCGGCCTTTCCATGAACTATTGCACGGGAAGGTGTTGTCATGTGGCGTGGGTGCAATGGTTGAGAAGTTCGGTAGGAAACAATGGCCACGCAGTTATTGGGATCACCCAGTAGTAACAGGCGCTCCAGCAGGCGTTCTCATTGTCCCCCTCGGATTGTTTTTGGACGCTGCGCGTTATGGAGGGCAGGCCTCGTCGAGCAAACAGCGCTCTGTACTGGTCCTATCCCTGGTGAACCTCATTACAGGTCGCAGACACGTAAGTCTACTTTTACGGAAACAGTTAGCCTGCAAGTGCGGGTGCAGGGGGCATTGCACCTATTCCCGTATATTCACATATGCTCATTGGTGCGCATCGGCACTCGCAGAAGGCACTTTCCCTTTAGAAGAAGTAGATGGGGGCGCCCTTGATGATTACAGGGGTGTCATAAGTGGTAAGGACATGGGTTTTCGTGGGGCTATTGTTCAGTTGCAATGTGATTGGGAGGGGCTTTCTCAGTTCTACAACGTCCCCACTTGGTCGCATAAACATAGGCCGTGCCCGCTCTGTTCGGCGACCACCGACACTCGGCACAACTACAGGTGAGCGCTCGTTTTTTTCAGCGCCCTCTGGAGTTTACCGAGGACAAGGCGACGAAAGGAAGAGAAGGGCCTGGAGGGGGCGGAAGGGGAACGGGGGAATTGGCGACGGAGACGGATGGGCGAGGCGGACACACGAGAC